ATAGGAATATAAAAGAAATCTATTTTTCGAGCCCAGATCGAGTGGCACGCTGTTACAGAGACGCCCTCTTAACTTGGCAACGACAGACCTCTACCTTGGCCGGCGTAATGTTTTTCCCATTTTAAACCATGTTTCATTTCCTAGAGTATCATTTCTTTGTTTAATAGTTGCGCATGAGAAGACACATGAATATGAATACACCTCAAACAATGAATCTTATTCTCAAGAGAATAACACTTTGTCTGAAATGGGAAAATGAGTGGTCTATATCCCCTGGAATATCTCCTTAGATAAATAATGTTATCAGAAAACAGAAATCTCCTTCCGTCCCTAAAACGGAAACCAAAAATAAAACCACGCAAATACACAGAGAGGACAAATGTGCCAAAGCGTGAAAGTAAACATGAGTTTTCCATATAATTAGATTTTGGTTTGGAATAAATTCGGCTCAAAATTGTTATATATACACCTATTTCAAAAAAACGTTGAATACAAAGAACATTGAATCAGTCTCAACACAAAGGTCCATGTTCTTGACGAGAATAAGAAGCAGAAACACAAGTCATTCCAGCTATTCTTGGATCTTGGAATAACCTATTCTATTAGTTTTCGCTTTACTCGTCTATTGCCTATCGCCTTTGGCGATAAAACCTTTTTTGAAATAGGTATAATATATCAATCATCAATAAATCATCAATAATCCTGTTAAAGATAAGATTTCGGGTTTTTGTTGTTGCTTTGTTTGAAGTTACAAACACATGCAGAGATCGAAAGTGAATGCTGATAATAGTGGTAAAAAAAGCTGAAAATCTCCAGAAGACATTAAATTTTTTTGGCTCAAAACAGATTATTATCTTTGTTCTATAATCTATTCTTTTGTGGTCAATTTATGCATGACCAACCAACAACCCGGGGAAAAAATAAGCAACCAAGTCAGTAAAAAGGACAAAGCAATATAAATAAAGCAAAAAATAAATTAAATTAAATTGATTAGAATAACTATAGAATTAAAAATAGTTTGTTCACAATGTCATATTTATGATTTGCTACATCGTGATATTTGATAATCTTGGCTTGATGTCTAGGAATATGATGAGACATGAAAAATATAATGAAACTGTATCTTTCAAACTTCTTACGTTGAGATTATTCAGTTCAAACTCATAGAAAGTACTCTTAATATCGTCCCATTCTTTGAAGATATAGATATAGTTTTTAGAAATTGCATCTGTAGTCAAATTTTTCTATAATACCTTTTGAATAATCTTTGTATCTGGATTCATAAATTCAAATTAAACAGTACGAACTAATTAGTTTTTGGAATTTAATATATAACTCAATTTTATAAGTATACTAATTTTAGTTGACAACCTTAAGATATATATCCTGGGATGAATCATTGAACTGGAAACTGTAGCATATTGTTACCGAGGTTATTATTATGCGACCGACCAGAGTTAACCTCTATTAACTCTGGAACGAGTTTCTTGCTTCATGCATTGGTGGTGAACGAGCTTCTTGTTTCATTGTTTAGGACAGATTTTGCTACTTACCGATTGAAGTTCCTCTAACATGTAGACTCCAAACACAGCTACAAATCACAAGAATTCCCAGCCAGCTCTTCATTGTCGTTGTATCAGGTTTTAAACCAAGGAAGGTCGACAGATTCCCTTATTTCCGGCCAGTACCTCAAAGCTCAATCTGCAGAACAAGAAAGACAATTGCATATTCCTTGGCAAAAGCAGGTTTTCCTAAATCGAAATGAAACTTAATATTCTGGATCAGGTTAAGACAGTTGTTGCTCTAGTAGTTTTTTGTCGAAGTTTTGTAATGACACATTTTGAGTATTCTTATTAAGCTAACCAATTAGTCCAAAACTATTACCAAAAGTTATATTTGCACAATGCCTAGCTTCTAATTGGTCAACTTGAATCGGCCAATGGGGTAGCTCGAAATTGCTCTTGAAATATTGTTCGTGTCAACCATCTCCCTTTTATTATGAACTTTGCCTTAAAAATTTATAAGAAATAAAACAAATAAACTTAACTATCTTATTCCAAAATTGGCAAGGCTTAAGTAATTGTGATATTTCCCCATTCATTAAATCTTTTTTCTACTGAAATATTTTTATCACAGGTACGAACAAGTATCTACTATATACATAAAAGATTTAAACATAAATGAATAAAACTTAGCAGGTTCCCACTAATCAAACATGCTTGGACGTGATACGCGTAAAGGGAAATGTCATCTACATATATGTATATATATATATACGTAATCTAATATTTAAAGTCAGTTCTTAGAACCTTTGGCATCCGGCTTTGATTCTCAAATTACGGAGGTTCTTTTTCTTTGGTTTCTTAAGAGAAAAGCACAAAACTAAATTAAAGTGTTTTTGATGTGATTTCTCTTTAGTTCTTTTCCTTTATTCTTTTTTTCTTCTTCCTTTTCTTCTTCTTTTGCTTTTTTTTTTTTATTTTATTTTTTTATTTTTTTGTTTTTGTTTTTGTTTTTGTTGGTTGGTTGGTTGGTTTAGCAACTACAAATGTTAATACTGACTACGAAATGACGGTTTAGTTCATATTTGAATGGATTTCTGTTCTATGTTTTCATACCTGCCCTGGATACAAGACTGACTCGCATAATAAGATTGACACTTATTTCCTCTAGCTGATGACAATCGACGTTCAACTCAAAATCTCTCTACTAGGTGGGCTAAGTCTTCCGGTGTTAAACAAAATCTATGACACAATTTAAAGGACAACAGTTTCTCGTATACCTTTCCCCATCCAGGGCGCATAATTTGACATTAATCAGTAAACCCTGCTCTTCCCTATCAAAGGAGATTTTAGTTGGTTAACACGATCATCAGTAATTACTTGAAATCGCACGAAACACTTCATAGATTGTTAAACCGAAAACGTGTCGCTATGGTAACTCTTTACATGAGCCACCTTAATTTTGACATGAGCCACTTTTCACCCAAACCATGCAAGTGGTATTCAACTTGAATTATTCAACTTATTTGCGTGATCTTCGAGTTGCTGTTTTTGAAACGATTAAAAACTAACATAGATTAATGTCACAGTTTTTGGTGTAAGATAATGGTGTGATGCTAATATTGCCTGCTAATAGAAACTGTAACTACATGTTTTTTTGCTTTTTATCTTGTACATATTTTTGAACTACTTTTTTCTGATGAATTTCTTGGACCAATCAGAAGTTGCCTGTTTTCTCTTTCTACAAATGATATATATACAGCTATTTCAAAAAGGTTGAATACTGAATAGTGCATTCTAAGACCAAAGGGCGACGTTTTTTGTTTTTTTTTCTTTTTTCAGCATCGTATGTTTTATTTGATAAATCTAAGAAAGAAAGAGGGAAAAATACCGATAATGTAAACATGATGATTTTTGAACATTTTCTTCATCATACTCATTGTCAAAATCGGGAGCCCATGTACGACAGAATCATGGTATCTTGTCTCTAATTATTTCATAATATTTTCGATTTTTTTTTCTCTCTCTCTCTCTTCAATACGCTCTTCTTTATCTAAACCTCTGCCTTTGGGTAAAACTTAAGAGCTTACACGACCTCTAGAATGTTAAAGCATTATAACTATGACTCAAGGAACCTATGACTTTTGAATGGAGGTTGATTTAGAGCTTGGCTTTATTTGAGCTTACCTTTTGATCGGAGATTAATTTTTGACCATACAAACAGATAATCGGGGGAAAACACGAAGTGCACCAATAATTATGGATATATGATAAGCTTCAGCATCTTAGCAGTCATATTGTGTATCTAGCTTGACAGATCAATCAATCATGCGTAAATATATTAGAAAAATATAACGTCAATCACTGACGAATCTACTGAACCAGCTAATTTGGTACCTTACCTGAAGGGGAGGGGGTAGTGTTGAATGAAGGCACGCGGACTGATCAGAAATTCCGGTCAAAAGTTCTCTAGCAAATACCGAGTAAGACATAAAGTCAACCACTTTAATTTGTCAACATATTCTTCCGCCGGTGTTTCTTATAAGCCATTTCTTAGCTAGGTTTATAGAATACTGTTCGGTCTTTTCGCGCCATAACAACATTGTTTGATTTCTTTCTAAATTTAAGGAACATTTTCACTATCCAATATGGCTAAACACAGGTTGTATTTGTGTTTGCGATCGACGCAACCGGCCACTTGAAGTCTTTTTCAGCACTATCAGATCTTCGTATGTAGCCCATTTTTCCTTTTACATTGTACAACAGTACAACAGATAATTCACATTTGTTCCTTTGAGAGTGACATGTTTGCATATATCGAAAGTGGGTGAAAAGATTTCCCAATCTAGTTTCGATAAATCAAATTTTAAATGAAAGCAAGTCTTAAATCGCTTGGAACGGTTCCAAAGAAAACGTTTAAACAATTTGGCACAAGTCGTTTGATAACAAATCGCCAGAGATGTAGAACTAAAACTACGAAACTGTAATACAAAATGTTTCGCAATAGGAAACAGGGGGCGATAGAATACGAACTATGCAGAACACTTCCTTTCCATTCGCTGACACATTGCAGTGGCTTTTGTATGAGTCTTGTTATTGATATAAGACATTAGCGCATAAATAATTGTTGTCTTGAATATTTTCAAGAAAGAAATGATCAATGATCTACCGCTTCGTTGTGGTTTTGAAATATAATTTGATATCATTGACTTATGGTATCAGCTTTTTTGTCTGTTCCAACTCAAGGTTAAAGGTGAATGCTTTCTTATGGAATATATGGTAAACCTAAAAAGACGAGTTTTTTCTTAAAACATTCGAATTTCATCGATACCTTGAAACAACCTGTGAGCTGATCAAAGCTAGTGCGGCGGCTCAGTAACTCACTGGATGTTTGTGGAGTGAGGAAAATCTGAGTCTAACCCGTAAAAAAGAAAACTCGAATTAGTGGAGAGACCTGTAAACAAAGTCTAATTATATTTATGTATGACTCTTTCTGTACCGGTGCTTCTCATTTCTCACTTTCGTTTAGCAAAAAAATATTTTTACTTAGAAACAATGATTGAATATTGCTTGTAATCCCTTGTGCAGTGATCAAGAAGAGATAGTCGAAGCATTCCAACCAAGGTCTCAAAACTGAATTAAATACCAGTAATGATGAAAAGGTAAATTATACACCGTGAAAAGATGAAAAAACTTGCTGACGTTTCGGACGCTAGTCCTTCGTCGGAGTAGTTCGGACTAGCGTCCGAAACGTCAGTAAGTTTTTTCATCTTTTCACGGTGTATAATTTACCTTTTCATCATTACTGTTTCATTAGAAACACCGACTCAGCTCACACTAGTTTTTAGCTAGTTATATCTTTGAATTAAATACCGTTTTATTCAGTCTTAAAAAATAAGTTTTTCGGCAACTACATTTAGTGGTGATGCTTCGGTTTCATATTAAGGAAGTTTTTTCGCTTTTATTATAAGCAGGCTTTCTTTCTTTATAAATATAACAATATACTCACCGAAAGTTTCTTCGATCCCACAAGAATTTGGGGATCTTTTCTCGTTGCGATACAAGAATCAACTCGATGAACTTAAAGGCAAAAGTCTTGCGTTTTTCTGCCGGATCAGTTCAGGATTTTCGTCACTATCTCAGTTTCGATACTCGATCAAACCAGTTGTGTCCTAATCAGCAATTGCTGTCATTTGTTCCGAATGAAGACCCACGCCCTCCGACACCTTTATACACTAACAGTAATTTTTTAAAAATCTCTTCTTATAAAAAAACGAGGCGGAAAATACTCAGAACACACTGACTCTGTAGTGAAGAATCAGTTGCTAGTCCGCCGGGGTATTATTTCTTTTTTCTTTAACTCTTGTGCCATGGTTTGACAGATGCATATACTAAGCTCTAGATCTAAAAGCAAATACAGATGGCCTTACTGCAAACACTCACCTAAAACTTTTATGAATTCGAATTACTAATATTTTTTCTTATTCGGAAGTCAATTCTCCCGTCTTACGTTTCATCATGGCATATTTGCAAACATCGTCAATGTTACTAGCAGGCATGACAATAACACTGGTCTCGTGAACGAGCTGATTCGACATCGAAGCACAAGTTTTGTAGGTTTTTAAGTGTATGGCTTGACTTTAATTTATAGAGTCAATCTAAAAACTTCATATTCAATATGGTTTTGTCTCGAACTTGAAGGATAACGACTGCCCAATTATTATAAACGTCACTAAACTTGGGGCAATAAAGTTGTACATCAAGTAATATTATAATAATTCAACTTTGCTGCTTGATTGGAAACAATTTGACCGACTGTCAACATACAGGCTTAGCGGGGTGAGCTCTTTAGGTACACCTCACTTTAAAAAATGTTTTCTCCAAAATTTGGATAGGACGAGCTGTAGAAATTTCACTACCATCTAGATAAAGCTCTGGTCTATTGATGTAGGAAGTTTGAAGAAAAAACTTGGAGCCGTTTTGAAGAAAACGGCGAAAATGTGATTTTTAGCAAAACTCTCATATTTGAGTTTTACAACGACAATTAGTAAAAAAAAACATTTACTCGATGAGTTTTTGAGGTTTGATGCTGATTTTTCGTAAGGCTCATCCGCAATACTTGGAAATAGATATGTGAAAATTGCAAGGCAATCCATTCAATGGTAATGTTCCTGCAGCGGGATGTTTCATATGCTTCAAATTTTGGATCGAATTTTCAAGCGGCGTTATAACTTATTTTCTGCCCAAGACTTTCCATCCAAATTTATACACAGGCTGCAATAGTACTAGATGATAAGATTCTGAAAATTTCAGAAAAATCGTACCTGAGGATGAGGAGGAAAAAGCCAAAAACTAAAAATAGCACTGTTTGACTTTCGGCCGTAATAGGCTAAACATTTAAAAAATCTTGAAATAAAATACAGTGTTAGAATCTAGGATAATCCAAGCACATTATATGAAAAATACAGTTAAATTGACGCATTTGTTTTGCGAAGGGAGCGAGAATAAGATTGTCCAAAATTCGCTCTGAATTAGTTTGGTTCCACCTTAATAGACGCCATCTTGAAAATAAGTCCCATAAAAATGTCCACTCGAACAAGATTTTTTTTTTTTTTTTTTGAACTTGGAATAATATGGCTAATTGACTTGAATTGCCTCTTGATTTGCCAACATCCAATAATAACTCAATGAATTCATCCATATTTAACTGCATAAACTAACCACACATACTATTCATACTGTTATTTTATATAAATATAAGGAACGCGTTACATAGCAACGCTGTCCATGTCGTAGCCAGCTGACCAACGATTCATGAGTACCAACGCACCTGTTTATAAATTGCAAAAAAAAAATCATTTTATTGTTACTAAGTTGCCTCGTATCTTTGAAACGTTTTCGGAACCGGCCGTCTTTCTTTTTCTTTTGTTTTCTCTCTCTCTCTCGTCTTGGGTAAGACGACAATTTGGGTCACTGAAGACGAATCGTTTTGGCCTAAAGATTTTAATTTTCACTCAATTATTTGGAAACTCTGATTAATTTAACAAAAGTTTCGAACGAACTTTGTTTGTTCACCCGTGACCCCTATGAATTGATTCCTATTTCAAGACGCCCTATATAGACGTTCACTGGGTTGCCTGTATCATGGCACACAGGCCATGGCATACAGTGTTCTAAAAGCGTGCACCATCATTTTGTGCATGGGAACAAGTTTCCTAATCAAAACACATACTGTATACACCTACTTCAATGAACGTTGTCACCGCCAAAGGCGATAGGCGATAGGTCATTCCGACATGGAAATGGTTTCGTTGAATACAAAGAACATTGAATCAGTCTCAACCCTAAGGTCCATACTCTTGACTAGAATAAGAAGCAGAAACACAAGTCATTCCAGCTATTCTTGGATCTTGGAATAATCTCCTATCGCTTTTCGCTTATCTTCGCCTATTGCTTATCGCCTTTAGCGATGACAACGTTCTTGAAATATATGCAATGTAAAATATAATCAGTAGGTAAACCTACCTTCCATAGATAAAGCATTGGTTTGAACCTTTCAACACCCGCGTCAAGAATACCAGATACAAAGATTAACACTAGCTCTTGAATAAATATATCCCGTCATGCCCTGGGGTCATTCAAACATTTGATTTTTTATTTATTTTTTAGTATAATGTATTTATTAATTATCCCGTAGTAATACATATTGTTATGCTATTGGTCTTGGTAGAGTGCATACCATATATCCGTGAAAACTTTTGTAAAAAATTGCACAAATTAGTAAGTTCAGTAGACCTACAAAACTTTGCTCTAATTTTTACAACTACAATCAGTGCCAATTATCTTAGAATGTAGAATAATTGAACGTCATGTTCCAATCCCCAACAATTTCAAAAGACTTTTAAGCGTTCAACCGTAATTCAGGACTTGTAAAATTACTAATGCAAAACGAAGATGGTTCTCTGTCTCATCAGCCGAATAGGCTGTAAAAAGAAACCCTTTACTACTAGTTCTAGTTTGTGTTTAGAAAACATGCAAGAGAAATCAATAGTTTGCTCTATTCATTATCTAATAAGTAATGCTATAATACATATTTGATTTTCTGGACTCATTCGCCAGGGTTTGGTTGTACGAAGGGTGGATAGCGCTATCCCACGAATAATTCTTATCCCACTGGATAAAGTTCTTGGATAACAGCATCAATTTATCCGCTGGATAAGCATCAATCCTCCCTTCGTATACCACTAAGCCCAGGTCACAATTATAAGCAAAGTACAGTGCTTATTGATTTTTTAAGACAAGAATCGGCAAAAAAATCGTTGCTATTCAGTGATTAAGGTTTTGAAAACATTTCGTACCTAATTTGTTTTAATAACAATGAATCTTGTGCAGCCTACTTATTATTTCGGCTATCCTTACGTGGGTGTTCTCAAGGTGCTGCCTGAGAAAGTGCTTTGTAACACTAGTCTAAAAAAAGACGGTTCAGGAGAGGGGAAAAGAGAGTGCTCCTTTTTTATCTTCCTCACCCTTTCAGTCCCTTCTCTTCTCTCTCCTTATTCATTCCCCATTCATTCTCCATTCCCCTTGAAGAGGAAGGGAAGTTTGCACTATGTGCAATAGTAAAATAAAGTCCAATATGACACTGTCTAAACTTCCTTTCAATCACCTTACCGCAAAACGCTTGAATTCCTGTGATCAAACCTGGAAGTCAATAAGGTCATGCGCAGAAAGTAAAATCAAAAGTGTTTTAAAGAAGAAAAACAGTTTGTGTCCGCATTAATTAGTTCTCAGCTTTTTACCATGAGTGCTTTTCTGGTCAAGAAGATGATAGTTTCAGCCATTCCTTAGAAAAATATAAAAGACAAAGATATAAATGAAATACTTGGCACACGTGGGTTGTGGCAAGTGAGTAGCTGCGGACGGGGTCGACTCTCTCATTGTGTAGCTTATGACTGGGGTCGAAGGTTTTCTATTAGATTCTCGACTCAATCACTTAGTGAGCTGAGATGGGTAAGATTTGGATCCGTGCATTTACCTGTTATCATGGAATTCACAGATGAAGGGCAGGTTTTTCTCACAAAAGCTCATGGCCCATTTGCTTGTAGAGCTGTTCCCATTCAAATACCCACAATCCTTATCATCTGTGTTGGACAAGTCGTTATTACGCTGGTAGACCAGCGGTGTTCCATCTGACCACTTAATTTTGTTTTCTACTTGGATGTCACTCAACCCGATCCAGGCCCCCTCGTTAGCTTTGCCATCTAAAAACAAATTTTGTACAGCTTTAAGCCACAATCAATCGAGCACTGAATTCTGTGGCGTGTTAGTAATTATAAATTGTTTTGGGATGACTGTGTGTCTGAAAAACAGTTAATCAATTCAGTAATTGGATTTAGTAATTAATCATATCCTTTTTGTAATCACTACCAAATCCTGCAATCTGATTGGTTCAAAGGAGTGCGATTAATTCCCAAATGGCATCCTTAGGAGCTCTTAATCGCATCCTAAAAATAACTTTTTTAAAACAATAAAATAAAACAAAATAAAACAAAAACATCAACAAAAAAATTTTTTTAGATGTTTTTTTTTGTTCGCATTTAGTTCTTCTACTACATTAAATTGATTATTCTGCAGTCTTTATTGTGTCTTTTTCTTGTGTATGATTACAAAAAGGATATGATTAAGTGGTAATAGACCCGTTTCGAATTCCAAATTACCGCTGTGTTTTTTGATTACAGACTCATTTGCACAGGGTTAGCCTCGAGTTTGTGCAGAATATTCACGTGTTCCAGTCAAGGTCCGTCGAGTTTCAAAGTGTTTGTATTGTTGAAGTTGTGCATTCTTTACTTTACCGTTGGTATTTGTGAATATTTAAACACTGATACGAGGCTAATAACCTTGTGCAAATGAGTCTGTAATCAAAAAACACAGCGGTAATTTGGAATTCGAAACGGGTCTATTGAACTTCGTGTTGTGCAATTTTGGTCTGAAATCAAACTTGCGATTACAAAATAGCACGACCGCGTAGCGGGAACGTTTGATTTCAGACCAAATTGCACTCCACTCAGTTCAATTACCATCATTAATATAACGATCTATTAATATATGAATATATATACCCATTTGCAAAAATTATGGCCGTTTCAAATATACATACAGGTATATCAAAAGTATATCAGACACGGCGAGATATCTTTCTTAAAATGTTTTCGGAAAGCCCAAGGTATATCAAAAGTATATCAGACACGGCGAGATATCTTTCTTGATATTTTTTTCGGAAAACCCTAGTGATAGACAACTCGAAAAAAATATCAGGGATGATATCCCATAATTTTTGGAAATGGCTGTATTTATATATGCATGATTAGTAAGCGTGAAATTTTATTGTCAAACGTCAGCCAATTTTGGATGGGCCGAGCATGCGCAGAAGGAGAAGGACCGGTTTTAAAGAATCTAATATACAACTACATCAAGTCTTCTCTACCTTTAAGTAGACTGATTTCATCGTTTGAGAGCGTTTGAGAAAGTACAGCCCAATCACTTATCCAGCCATTGAATTCTGGTGACGAACTATATCTTCTCCCGATCAGAAAATAGGGTTCTTTTGTTGGTTTGAGATTTGGATTTGACTCCCCGCTTTTGTCTTGCTTGTCGAGTATTCCATTAATATACAATCTAAATAGACGTGAATCTCTGTGCCAAGTGAGAGCTAAGTGATGCCACTCGTTAGTTGATAATCGACTGAAATGACAATACGACGATATCAATACAATATGTCACTCAGTAATGTTTCGTAATGACGACACCACAGGACACACTTAAGGACTGGGACCATTCCGTCTGTTCGTGACATAGAATCTCGGTCACCTCGGTCACCTTCGTTATTCCTTGAATGTACCAATGATATGGTTCTGATGAATTGGTTTCAACCGTAAACATAACCCCACTTATACAAATCTTCCAATCCTGTACCGTGAGCTTCTCAGCCCTCACATGCATGTCGCATGAACCTTAGTTTAAAGTCTTACCCGTTTCCTTGGAAATTGTTGCCACCTGAGAGAAATTGCATTTCAGCCCTGAGCTGTCCATCATCAAAAAAAATCCTCGCAGATTTGTCCGAGTCACCTTCGTCATTTAGAATATACATTTTATCATTGTCCGATTTCAGATTCACCCATAATCCAATGGTCAGGTCAGTGGTGTAGAAATTAAAGCGAGGTATGGTCGCATAATCTTTCGTATCTTTTTGTAAAAATAAAGATGGTCTGTTGTCTTTGACTTGAAATTTTGCGCCACCAAACAAGCTGCAAAATGAGTTCAGTAACAATTCTTTACTATATCTTTCTTTGAAATACCTGCGTGAGAAAAGCCCTCGAAGGATAGGAGAGATCCTACAAATAATTCTACCTACATGTGGTGGCGAGTCCGGGGGATCGAACCTTTGAGCTTAGCGGTTGCATTCGGTACGCATTAGTACACACCAGTGCGCAATAGAAGACCTAGCTTTGGTATCATAACCTTCAAGATAGACCAGACCAAGAAGCAGGGAAAGCTTGCTCAAGCACTCCAGCAAGGATTTCAAATAAAAATAAGAGCACTTTATTTTTATTAAGATTGACAAAAGTTAGTCTATCATTTTGCATATCTCGGTTCTATTTGATGTCAGTATATATTGAGTAACTTACCTCAGTCCAATGTCTGTACCATCCATGTACAACATTTTAATAGCAGCTGAAATGCAAATAAAACAAGATAAACAATCCCTTGAAGGTGAGTAGTGAATATTAGTGGTGCATATAATATATACAACAGGAATTAGAGTACGTGGACTCGCTAACATTTAAGTTCCCCAATAACTATGCTTGTTATGGGAGTCGTGCGTCGAGGTGGAAAGAACTAAACATGCCACAGGCAGCCCAAACAAGGTTCCTGTGTATGGTTTATAAGGGAATATATGGGAGTTATGATAAAGTTACGAAAATAAAATGTTTCACTCAACGATTTGCTTCAAAACTTGTTGCAGTCGTTGCTTTTACTTTGTTCAGTCTTCTGGCAACGTTTCAGCGCGATTTGAGGCCATTTAGTGGGTTTTTTCAAAATCCGCTCTTCTCTACCTAAAGAAGAGCTGATTTTGAAAAAAAAACATTAAACGGCCTCAAATCGCGCTGAAACGTTGCCAGAAGGCTGAACAAAGTAAAAGCAACAACTGCAACAAGTTTTGAGGCAAATTGTTGAGTGAAACATTTTATTTTCATAACTTTATCATAACTCCCATACATTCCCTTATAAACCATACACAGGAACCTTGTTTGGGCTGCCTGTGAACATGCCAACCTTCAAAATTGAATCCAAAGAATTCCGATTCTGCATGGACTTATTAAAGTACTTTTTTCGTTTTAATGAAGTTTATACTTACTGAGTAAAAAAGACCTTAAGAGGGTTTCAAGGACAAACTTTAGTTCAGTTTCAGAGGAAAACGAAGCGAGATCTCCACCAAGACCTTGGCAGTGTTCACGAGCATTGGTCCAGTTTTTTCGGTCAGCAAAGAATTCGAAGATGGAGGAATTAAATCTGAACTTATTTCCCGGGAGAGCTGGGAAAAGAAATATATATATAATAGTGTAATGGGAGTGTGGTAGGGTGTGGAGGTGGTGTGTGGTGTGTTGTAGTGTGGTGTGGTGTGTTATAGTGTGGCGTGGTGGGGTGGGGTGTAGTTTAGTGTAACAAAGTGATCAGTAAAGTAGAGTGTTTTTTTGTGTGTGCAGTGCTGTGGTGATGGGGTGTGGTGTGGTTGTGTGAAGCGATGCGATATGGTGGGTGTGACAGATGGGTGAATTAATGCCGTGATGTGGTGCGCTGTGGTATGGTGGGTGTGACATGATGGGTGAATTAATGTCGTAATGTGGTGCGCTGTGGTATGTGGGCGTGACATAATTGATGAATTATTGTGATATGACGTGGTGCGCTGTGTTTTGGTGGGTGTAACGTGATGTGATGTATCAATTAGTGCGAGTTGATGTGATATTAACATTTATGAATTGACAACGCTTTCGCATCAAGTCAATAATTTGATTGCTGTGTTTTGGAATGTGTGCTGCGTTGCCTTGTAACTTTTGGAATTTCGGGTTGAAAGCACCTTATACTTACCGTCTTTGACTGGACAGTCTTCCTTAACGCAGTAGCTCATGTTCTATATAATAGGAATAATGGTAATAAAGGCATTTACGAAGTGTAGGTACCGGTAGTAAAATAGAGAACAAGCCTAACCTTTGCCTCGGCGTACTCGTATCCTGTTTTTGCTACAAATGATCCTGGACTTTGTTTCTTGTTCGATCGGTTCAAGTCACACATAAAACCACCATTCTGTTTGTAAATGTTGATGGAGAAACAAGCGAGAGTTTCTTGGCAGACTGACATACAATCGGGTTTGAAGAGAGGTAGGGTCTTGATCACGTGATCTACCAATGCGTAACCATAGTCACTGTAAAAAGGCGCGAAACTTGGACAGAAGTTACTAGTAACTACAGTAGCCATGGCAACAGCCAAGATGACAAGAAGTTGTAGCAACATGAAGAATCAAAAGAGTTCTGTGAACAAAAATCAATATATATATAAAAAAAAAAAAGAAAAATGAAGAGTGAAGACTGTTTTTAGCCCCGGCTCTTTACTCTGCTCAGTTTTCGTGTTTGGTTTTCGCACATTTCTTTGTTTGTGCACAAGTAATTTAAGGTTTTAGTTTATTTTTTTTCTGTAAAAAGATTCCCCGAAAAGAATTGTGGAATTTAGCTTCGAAGATAATCTAGATCAGGTAGTGTGCGATACGGTTCACGTGTCTTCAAGCATCCAATCAGTTTTCAGCATGTTTACAAATTTCACCGGTAGCGCATTGATGCAAATGTTTAGATGACCAACTACAAAAGAAAAAGTGCCTTTTAAACGCTTGAGAGTAAAACGTTAGTTTAAAGTTTAACCAGTAGTGAAGATTTTGTGTTCAACTATACTCGGTTGATGAAATAATTTTGATTTGAGGGTAAGTATGATGTTTTAAATTATTTTTGCTCAAAACCTTCTACACTTCTCAACCGGTATGTTTATGTTTTACGACGTTTAACTCTTTCCCGAAGTTGCAAAACTCGTTTCTTTATAGAGAGAAGTTAACTAGGTCGGTCCCTTTTTAGTTTCGGTTGGGTGCCATGAAGATAGTTCTTTCAGAAAATCATGGTCGACCTCATCTAATTTTCTCGATATTTTGACTTCAATCGGAGCATGTTTGTAGTATTCAATCAGATCGATGTCAAAAAGACATGGCGTCGTCAGTCCACCAAGTTCTACTCCATGGAAAAGAAAAAAGCTAGAAAAAAAAAGATCCTCCAAAACCTTGTTTAGCTGGGTTTGCCTAAAACACGTATTTGGACCTGAAATTTTCCACCTTCTATCTCTTCTTTTCGCATGAAAATCAAACAGAGCAAAGAACAATTATCCAGCTGTGATGTGCCTTGGTTTTGAGGAATTTCGAATGGAGTTAATTTGGTTTCTTCTCGTGATCCGGACACTAAGGATACTTTAAAAGGAATTTCAAATATGCTATTTCGTTTCAAATTTCTAACCCAACCAGCCAACCCAAGGTACAAACTTCCACTACATCGCTAAGGATTAGCGTGAAAAACTGCATCCTTTAAGCTAAAACTAATTTAACTGTATTTTTAAGCTGAAACTCCATTTGAAAGCCGTAAGGCCTTCTTTAAAGACTGCATAGATGTTTGGTTATCACTTCCTGTTAAGAAGATATTGCGTGATACAAGTCATGTGACCAAACATAACACTTAATATCTCCCTTCCACTCCATCGAGTTAAACATTGAGTTATCACCTGCTTCGTGTTCGTATCTCATATCCCGTCATGCCCTGGGGTCTTTATCACCTGCTTCGTGTTCGTATCTCATATCCCGTCATGCCCT